TACCGTGCAAAGTTTCAGTTCTCCGCCTTCCTTGCTTCCCGAGATCGCTTTCCTGCCAAAAAATTTGCATATTTCTTTGAGGCGTTCGTACTTGGAACACAGGCATACGCGGGTGACGATATTAAAACGGGACGCCGTACATAGTGCGGGCACATACTTCCGAAATTTCAGTCTTCCAGCTTTTCTGGATCTCGAGTTGAAAGTGGGAAGTGCAAATAAAGAGACACAAACAGCCTCTTGCCGATACGCGTTTTTGCATTTGCACATATGCAAAAACGCATAAAAACGGAAGGGTAACACATAGGATGGGAATATGATCTCAAAATTTCAGCTACCCAGCTTTCCTGGTTGCTGAGTTGAAAGTGAGTGACAAAGTTTACTCGCTTCCGAACACATACACCCACACGGACGAACTCTCGACAATATGCGTTTTCGCTCTCTGTAGCAATGCTACAGTGCTGCACAGCAGAAACGCATAAGACGCTGTTTTGTGAGTGAACCTCTTCTCGAAATCCTTTCTATTTCTTTATCTAGATCACAGAGTCTTTGAAAATGTCCGCTAAACGCCCTAATTGCCAAACTTAAGCTATCGCGACATGCCAGATTTATTTTTCAAGAAAATGACTGATATAAAACTCGGTAAAGAAATCGGAATCGCATATTTTGGAATACAACTAATTCAATAAAGCAATAAATTCCACCGTCTAGACGACAGTGATGAATGCGGAAACGAGCAAAACACTGGAAAATGTTGGCGATTTTGTTGCTTTTGCTAAATTGACTTTTTGGAAATCCCCGTACAGAAAGCAAAGCTTGCTGGCTACCTTCCGCGAGCATAATAAGCCTTCCTCAACACTTCTAAATTCTAATAAATTTCTTCTTACTAGTACAGGAGATCCCGTTGTTGGTGTAAGACCTGCAGTTTGATGACTAGCTTGTTTCGCGGAAAGCACTTTCTAGCAGAACAAGTCAGACATCCATGTGCATCCAAACGATCAAAAAATTAC